CGTTTGGCACAGAGTGAAAAAAGCAGGAACTCTTGTTAAGTTACATAGTCATTTATGTGACTGAGATTTGAGACGAAATGTTAACAGATCTCTAGTATGAATCCTCATCCATTCATCTCACTATTGTGTGATAGAATTAGATGATACTCCCACGCTCTTCGCTCTTGAACTAAACCGTCAGAAGATTCGGTTAGACTTTGTGTTGACTCGGTAATTTTTCATCGAGCTGGCACAATAAGCAGAAAGCTTTACTTCAATTGATGAGAAAAGAAGAAAAGGCTTAAATAGCAATCGAAGAAAAGTGGAGGAAAGTTTATTACTTTTGGAATGTCGGTCTTCCGTACACTTACAGGATTGGGCAAATTCTAGCATCCTTGTTTTTATGAAGTTAGTAACGATGACGTTAATATCCATTTACGCATCATCAACCGGAAGCGTAAATGGATATTTATGGATATTTTTAAGAGCAGAATCGACAGTTATGTGATAGGGTTAGTCTGAGTCCGGTTTCTTCCTACTCATTTATCAACCCTGGAAAGAAGGAAAGCGATTGACCACTACTAGGTCTCGAAATGTGAGCCTCTCGATTCTGAGTGAGACTCGCTACCAGCCGGTATGAAGAGAACAACTAGAGGTAGCATTTAAAAGTTCTAACGCACATAATGCTTTCAAATGTCTTCAAAAGGCAATGAACCTTCTAAGAATGGTGGTAACCGCAAAACTGCGGTGGCATTAAAAAATGCACATGCAGTTTCTCGTTACAAATTTATTCTTAAAAAGTTAACAAAAATACTAGCTGAAACAGTTTAAAAAAAAGGCGGCCGCTATCGCTGCGCCCAAGAGAGAGAGCGTTCTCTCAGTTACGAATGATCTCAGTTACGATTTGTGTAAATTTGTGCCTCTCAAATGAACGATGAATGAGTCACATGACTGCGAACTTAGCAAGTTGCAGGCGACGGAACTGGTCAAAAATCAGTCGTTCAACTCTGCACTTATGTCAGCCGCGATGAATGTAAAGAGTTCCACTCACCCGTTAGATACAGTGAAGTAGGACTCTCGGCTGCAAAGTTCGATGGTTGCACTTCTGTTTGAAAGGTGAAACAGTTAAGAATTCCAAAACTGGCTCTGTTAGTTTGAAACTTGCATTCATCAGTTAAGCATCCATTTTGCACATATATGTTAAGAATATGTGAAATTCGATTTGATCGCTAACTTGTCAGCTTATTAACGTTTTTATGTTTACTGCATTCTTTGCGGTATGCTAAGGCCGTTTTTATATGAATTGCTGCTGAACTTAATCCGCACCTTAGTATTCTTTGTTATTAATGACTATGGTAATCGTAAAAGTTTTAACTGTAATGCATGATACGGCATGCATGCGTGCATTTTGAGGCAGAAGATCAGCAAAATTTATTTTCTACACTTATACTTGAACAGAAGCGCTTTATTGTTTATGCCTATTTTATTTAGTATGCAAGAAGTTTGTTGATGCGCAGTCCAACGATTCTTCCGCCCTTCAGTTATGATGAAAATCCTCAAAAATCAGTAAGTCTGTTTCCGAATGATCATGCGTAATTTTGATTCGTTTTTCTTGTTTAGGAATCTCAGACATTTCGGCTTACGTCTGCCAAGCTTAATCCCGCAAAGTTAGAAGTCTCTAAACTCAAGCACAGGTTTACACCCTACGCAAAGTATGTTACCGTTTTCTTTTGGTTCTGTATTTTTGGGTAATTGTTGTTTCTTGGAGGCCAACAACTACTACGCCTCTTCGTACTATCGACGAAGTTCCGGTCAGATCTCATGAAAATCAAACATTCAACGAGTTGAGCAAGGTAAAATCGCGTTTTGAGTAATTTATTTGCTTCTCAACTGTCGAATGTTCAGAATGTACAGGTAAAGCTCACAGACCGATGTTTAAACTGGTTCTGTAGTAGTTTCGAACTGAACATATAAAATTTTGAAGGAAGTATTGCGTCACTGTTTTTCTTTTAGGAATCATCTTCGCTTTCTTTGTTATCTTTTCCGGTGACGAGCTTCAAAGATATCCCAGAACCCGGATTTTTGACTCAGGACGTTTCACAATATGAAGAATTTTCTTTCGCTTTACCTAAAGTCCTAATTGCCGTCGACGAGACGAGCAGCGATGTGACCATCCCACAGGTGGTACGATTTTTAAATTTAGTTCTGCTAATTTATGAACTTTTTTTCAGCCAGAACCGAAGCTCGTGGTTCCTTCTCATTTAAAACCTGCAGTTAAGAAGCCAACGAAGCCTAAGACACAGAACAAAACAGGTTATTTTTCTTGCTTGATTTTTATGATGTTTGGCCATCCTTGGTATCTTCGGCCGGTCGAATGAACAGTTAATTGATATTTCATCTTCCTTTCTGAAGCATTCGGCAGAGTACCTAAACCATCGCAGTTATGACTTCTCAGTTTGGAGAAGCAGCGGCTTTACACCAACGCTCTCTTTCTCCAGTATCTGTTCTCCGAACCATGTCCAGGTGCATGAATCCAGCGATTTGTCTCAAAACGCCCATTTCAACCTCTTATACCCGGGATCGTGTGATCTGAATTATAGAAACTACATTTATACTTGTTGTTGCACATATTCCTTATGATTTATTATATAAACTTCCATTCGCTTGTGAATTAACAATGATTGTTTGACTTAGGCAAACTCCAAGTCACTAATTCCGTCATTATTCCAGCTACAGCAGTGATAACAACCAAATCCTCCACGAAAGAAAGAGCGATCGTGCCTTCTGTCAAATTTTCTACAGGTAGAGAACAGAGAAGTAAGTGCTATTTTAAAATTTGTTTTCACTCTAGCAATCAGTCACAACGACTAAATAGTCTGTGGTGATTTATGGAGAACTGGAAACATTTTGCCATATTTTGTTTGGAATTTTACTGTGGACAACGGTTCTCCAGTCGCAGTGTCATTCAGCTAAGAGATTCGCCATGGGATATGAATAGTTCTGTCAGCCGCTGATCAAAACTTTTTTCTTAACTGACAGTTTTGGGGTCCATTACAAATCTTCGAGAGGTCGTCTTACTCCGCCTAGGCACACGACAAAATTTCCTTCAGATCTAACAGAGAGGTTAGATTTATTGTCGAGTTCGGGTTTTAACATTTGATTAGTCAGTTTTTCGTTATTTTCCCGCATGTAATTCAGTGTGTTGCAGATGATTAATATGGTTTATGGCTTCACTTTTCTTGTATACTTTTAGAAGAAGTCAACGCTGTTTCTAAATGGTCGTGCCAGCAATGCTTTGTGTCCAACGACGAAACAGTACAGAGTTGTGTGTGCTGTGGTTCGAACAGGAACAAGCCATCTTCTTCCTTTGAAAGTACTTTTACGAAGCAAAGTCTGTCAGCCTTTGTAAAACTAGCAAATAGTTACACAAGTTTCTTACTCATAGACTAACTTTAAATTACTGACATTTTGGGAAACTAGACTAAAATGTCGATCACTGCAGTCATGCAGATGCATCACTCACGCATAAGGTTTAATTTGAGATTGCCATTATACTTTTTCATTATTTTTTTCCATTGTTGGTGCCTTTCGCACTGTTTGTGACATTTAACTACTTTTTGAAGCGATCATTCTTTACAACGATATCCTTAAATTATAAAATTGGATCACGCCATAGAGTCTTTTATGCGATCACAATGAGGTCTTTCTAGAAAAGTAACAAACACGAAACTGTTATTCCACGTGGCAATGTATCTAACGACGAGGGGTGCACACCAACTTGTATTTTTTGATTAGCATAGAAAGCTGTTTCTAATCCCCTGCCATTTTCTCAAGCCCAGAACTGCAAAAAAATATAGAATGTTTCGTTTCCTGTCGAAACGGGGAGAAGTACAGTTAATTCTTGCTTGGAAAGTAGATTTAATTAGAATCGGCTGTATTAAATCTAGAGTAGGCTGCCGCGGCCACATTGCTAATCACACTCTTGACCTTAGATTTATACATTTCAAATTGATGTTGACATTGTTGTGACTTTTCGATTTTCTTCCTTTGGTAGCATTGTGAGTACTTTTCGCAATGCTAGTCACTTCGTTGACCTTTCTTATAATACCTTTGTTGAGTGAGGCGCTAAAAAATTGTACTGTTGCGACGTTTTTTTTTAATAATAAAATTTTTCAGAAAAGGCACAAAGCACGAAGTGGTCATGCGGTAATTGCTTTGTTTCGAATGATGAAGCACTTTTGAAATGCGCTTGTTGTGGAACTGCAAAGACTTCACCACCCACGTCTAGACCAGAAACAGCAAAAGAAAAGACTCCTACAGTCTTTACCAAGAATCTCAAAGGTAAACGATTTCTGTGTGGATTTTTGCTGACGCATTTTTGGTTGCTATTCTTTGTTTCTTTATGGTTAAAGGTGAATGCACTGACGAAATGGAAAGTTGTTTTCTCGGTCCCATCCTAGTAATGCTCCGTTTCTCTGTGTCTGCTCTGCTGGATTAAGGTTTGAGAGGTGCTTGCACCCTGATTAAATGGCTAAGCTGTTACTCACCAAAAAGCGCTAATGGTAAACGGAATCCGGGAAAATAAATGCAGGCTACCGCGTTGGCATGAGCAACAACTACGAATTGCCTCGCAAAACCAAAACACGTGATTGGTAAGCGTACCAGAAACGTCATCAATGTCTTAATGGCTAGCCATTTTGCAAGAACACTATCGAAGATGCATTTAGTGACGTCTATCATCATGGAAACGATAAAGATAAAAACGGACGCCATTGGAATGTGTGAGACAAAAATCTTTCGAAACTGTTGCTTAATTGAACAACGGTGACCAGGTGTTTCTCGGAAAGAACGAAAACCAAGCTCGAACCAGCGGCGTTGGGTTCATAATAAAAAGGAAAGCCTTACCATTTGTACTGAGCTGTGATATTTTATCACCTCGTATGGCAGTATATCTATAGATGGACAAAACAACAACAGTGAAAATGATCCAAGCTTACAACCCATCCCAGCAAGCTGAAAGCGAAAAGATCGAACAGTTCCATGAGGTATTTCAAGGCGATTTGTAGAAGAAAGCTGCGTACACGATTTTCGAGGAGACTTTATTGCAGTGGTAGGAAAAATATTGAACATCAAGCAGTTCGATGAACTGTCGCATCTGTGTCCATTGAGTAGCGTGAGGTCTAATCTCACCAGCGCTCTTCCCACCCCCTTGGAATCATTCTTCAACTAAGCTAAACAGTATCAGCATCAATAGAAAGCAGATAGCGCATATTTTTGATGGCCGACTATATCATCTTCGCTCAAGACACGATAGTGCTCCAACAGAAGATCCAACAGCTGTTAGAAGAATCTCTTACGATAACCCTTTTCATTCGAAACAGATGCGAAATGAGCATTGCCTAGAAAGCTCTGACTACGCCTATGGCGAAAAATTCGAAGAAGTCACCAGTTGCATACACCTTGGCCGTCAGGTGGATCGCAAGAACTCACCTGACGCGGGAATCAGCTGAAGAAAGAATCTAGCATGGGTCCGCTTTAATTGTATTAAAACATTCTTACTCGACAGTGAGCAGCCCATGCTGGCGAAGAAAGAATTGTTCAGTTCAAC